GGCAAATTTTTGAATAACAGAAATTTGGTTCAACAGGACAAAGGATTGGCATGATTGGCTGTGTTCATTTGCCGGTTGAAATCTTACCGGATCGCCACAAAAATTCTACTATCACGTGACTGCATTGTTGCGCACGAAAAAATCTTTAAGTTCGTTTAAGTTAGGGCTAGTTCTTACGATATGGATAGATATTAGCAGGCATATAGTAAAATTACTCAAGGAATTTTTTTTGTTAGAGCGCTAAAGGTGCAAATTTTTTGAGAAATTATCTATTTTTTAAAAAACGATCGTTTTGTTTTGATCTTCCTGATCGTGTAACGTTACATCAAAGCGAGGCTTGCTATTGGATAAGCAATTGTAGATCTTCACGTGACAGTAAAATTTTTGTGGCGATCCTGGGGTAGTTCCCGGTTGTACCAAATAACCATTCAAAAATTTTTGCCGAATAATGTACACTTAAATATGTAATAGATATTCCACGGGCTGCTGTGAATATCATGGATTAGCACGGCAAAGCTGTGGTAATACATGATGTCACAGCATACCATTGAATATCTAATATATTTCACGGTCTCTGATGTCCGTGGAATAGTTTTTGATATTTTCACGGCATTACATCATCATAAAAATATCATCAGAAATTTCACGGGCAAACATTAGGGGCTGTGGAATATTATAGGATGGATAAAAAGCTTTCTCTGAGATATAAAAATTGAAATAATAAATAGTTAAATGTAAGTCTAAAATGTATAAAGTCATATAAGTACAGAAAAAATCCGCAAATCTTATCTAATAAGATGAGTTCAGCAAAGAGAGAATCAGCTGCATGCTTTCAAATTTATCATTTATTAATCATTTGCCTTGCTATTTATTATTCATGATCACCACTATAACTTCTCGCATGCCCAAGAATTTTGTGGAAGATCTTGGTCATGTAAAAACAATAATAACAGATAAAGATGATTATAAATAATGTAAGGCAGGGATTGTTCATTTATCTCCTGCAAGGAGTTTAAAATGCTACAGGGAAGGTTATGATGATCATTATGTAGATGGCCCGAAGGGTCATCTGGTTCACAGGAAATAAATAATACACATACAAATAATAATTTTTAATGCAAGTCAATACCATTGCCGCCTCAAATAATATGATATTCGATTTTAGGTATATTCTTTTAATCAATTATATATCGGAATATTAGAGTATGAAAAAAACATAAATAATTTAAATTTAGGGTTGTATTTCAATTTTAGGGTTTGAATAGGATCAGCAGTGTAAGAAGTCAAAAATATAAATTATGAGAAAAAGGTGGAGAATATTCAATTACAGTATCTTGACTTCTCATATTCTAAAATGAATCAATACTTAATTTTAATTGTTGCGTTTTTTGGCTACGTTTTGTACAAGGGTTATATTTATCCGTTATATTTGTCTCCACTACGTAAAATTCCCGGTCCACCTGTTGATAATTTCATTCTTGGACATTATGCTACTTTTTTAAAGAAAGGGTTAGGTGAATCTCTTGCCCACTTAGCAAAACAATATGGCGGGATAGTTCGATATCATGCTTTATTCAACAAACCCTATTTATTGATTTCCGATCCAAAACTTGTCCAAAAAGTACTGATAAATCATTCTTATGATTATGCAAAGTTGTTCTTAAACACAACTGTAGCAAAGGATATGTTTGGTGAAGGTATTTTACTTGCTAATGGAGATTCTCATAAACGACAAAGAAAAATGATGAATCCTTCATTCGCTTTTGCCAATATCAAGGTACTCTTTTACAATTATCAACGGTATAACTGTTAAAAAAACTAAACATCATAATGATATTTAATGATTACAACTTACTTAATTTCAAGGAAATGGCACCAACATTCGTTCAAGCTGGCTATAAATTAAAAGATATCTGGATAAAACAAATTGGCAATAAGAAAGAGAAAAGAATTACGATAACTGCATTAATTCCAAAGATAACTTTGGACGTTATTGGTCTTGTCGGTACGTCATTAGCCCTTATTCTTCTACACGTTATATTTTACCAATGTTATTTCTAATCGTAACTATTTAATAGGATTTAATTACGAATTCAATTCTACGGCTTCAAAGTCTGAATTAGCCCAAGCATATCATGCATTAATTGATCGTAGTCCTTCGCCTTTATACATAGATTTTGCAGAACAAATTCCGTTGATCAGGAATCTTCCAACTAATATAAATAAAAATATTTTTGCTCCATTAAAACTATCAATAATATTTCCGAGAAACTAGTTGTTGAACAAAAGAATTCTCTTATTCAAGGAAAAGATTTATTGTCTTTGTTGGTAAAAGCAAATGAGAAGTTGCCTGTTGATGAACAATTAACACATGATGAATTACTTAGCCAGGTAAAAATTTTATTTAAATTATTAAAAAATATATATAATTTTTTAAACTTTTTTTAATTTATATAATTATTAAATTTAAAGGTTATGACATTACTCATAGCTGGACATGAAACAACTAGTACTGCATTATCTTGGGCACTATACTATCTTGCAAAATATCCAGATGTTCAGAATCATCTTCGAAAAGAATTACTGGACGTATTTATTGATCGTAATCATTTTCCAACATTTGATGAAATTGAACAGTTGAAATATTTAGATTGTGTCTTTAAAGAAACTTTAAGGATCGCTCCACCTTGTATAGTCTATATCTCTTTATATTTCAATTTATTCGATTTATTCAATTATCTCACTCTTTTATTTATAATTTAAAGTGCCTACGCTTCTTCGTCATAATTTAAAAGATGAAACTATGAACGGATACATTATTCCAAAGGTATTTTCTAAATGACGTTCATAGCTCAATTTATTTGATATTAACATAGTATACAACTAAAAATTTTTTTAGAATACTCCATTAGTAATTTCAGTTTATGCAATCCATCATGATCCGTTAATTTGGGGTGGTGATGCAAAACATTTTAATCCATCTCGGTGGCTTGATCCAGAAATAAAAGCAAAAATATCAAATAATACTTTCTTCCCTTTTGGCGCTGGCCCAGCAAGTTGCTTAGGAATGAAAATGGCTCAATTGGAACTTAAATTCATTTTATCCATAATTATTAGAAATTTTGAGTTTAAATTAGTTGAAGGTTTTACTTTTCAAAAGAAAACACTTGTTGTAACTAGACCTGAACCTGGAATTGATTTATGGGTTTCAAAAGTGGATTATTAATTTTTTTTCTTAAAACAAATCATTAATATTAGTTGTTTTAATGTAGCCTGCTTTTTTAAACCCGTTTTTTAATCAAGTATAATATTTAAAATAATTTATCTTTCTTTATTTGTAAAGAAATCTTTATCAAAATAAATTTATTTACTAAGGCCATACAAACTTAATAAATCGGTTTTCATAACCCGGCCGGGTCAAAATTTACAAAACTCTAAAAAAAAATTTCAAGTATACTTACTATCCGGGTGAGTTTTTTAAAAAATCTATAAAAAAATTTTATATGTTTTTTACGTATAAAATTTTTTGAAAATAAAATTAAAAGCCGGGTTGCCGGGTCACTTTTAAAAATTTTATGTTATGAAAACCGAATTGTTAAGTTTGTATGGCCTTATTATGAATTTTATAATTATTTATTTTTAGAATTACAGATTTTCCTTTCTATCACTTATATTTAAAAACTTCATTAATAACAATTTGTATTAAGAAACTTCAAATTATTGTTGACTTCTAAACTTAAATTTTCAACTTGCTTTTAATAACTAGTTGATACAAATAATTGTTGAGAAGAGTTTTTTGCTTATAATTATTATTATATTAGCTTCTCAGTATATTATATTTCAAGACTTTGTTAGTAATATTTTATAAGCAAAAATAACAGATAGTTTAGATTTTAAACCTTGAGTTTTTAACTTGTAGTCAAATAAAAGTTAATATAAGTAATCATTAAAAAGAGTTTAACTATAATATAATTCTTATTTTAAATATTATTAAAAATTTTATTTAATTAGTAATTCATCAATTAATCAGAGAATATATATAATATAATGCAATTTATATATAAAAATTAAAGTTTTTGAAATATAAGCTGCTTCTATCTAAACTTTTTTATATTGTTAATTATCTTTGAGCCTCTAATTAAAGTTGTAAAGCTTATCAAAATAAATATTATCCCTTAAACGGTTTTGCAGGCAAATTTGCCTGCAATTTCCAAATTTAGACGTAGATCATTTCATATTTTTTTACAAAAATTGACCAATCATTTTTTGGCTCTAGGCAGACATTGATCAACATTCGACTAACATATTTGATCGGTTAATTACGCCCTATATATTTAAAAAAAAGCAATACTAACCCTTTAAAGAATTCTTTAATCTTTTCTCACGTATAATACAAGACTATAGTCTCCTTATAAAGACATGATATTTCTTAAATTATTGGCATCAATAAAGTATACACATAAATACTTTATTGAAGTTGCTAATTTAAGAAATATTTGTACTACTTATTTATGTCTACTTAATTATACATTACTCTGAGAGGTGGTCTGCGCAGTGCATAATCAAGTAACACATTAAAACCAAATATTTCTTAAATTATTGACTTTAATAGTATTTTTATCATTATGTACGCGCTTTATTGATGCTAATGGTTTAGGAAACACTGTAACTTGTTTATATTTGTCTCTATACGGAGTTTGTGGTTTTAGATTTCTTGCACCGTACGATATTTTAAATAAATGATTGGATTTTTTTCATTAGATTGATTTTTTTTCATTAAATTTTTTTATGATGGAAACTTCAATGTTTAATGAACAGGATGATGACAATGTGTATATTACAGAGGACGATGATGATATGTTTTTTGTAGAGCTATCACGTTGTATTCATGAAAATCGTGAGCAAAATGAATTTGATGATAATGAAGATTATGATATTCAAGGTAGAAATATTCAAGAAATTCAAGAAATTCAAGAAATTCAAGAAATTCAAGATGAAAGTAGTGATGAAAACCAAAATCGTGGACATGGCCACGGTCATGACCATGGTCGTGGTCGTGGCCGTGGTCGTGGTCGTGGTCATAGCCGTGGTCGTGGCCATGGCCAAGGTCATAGTCAAACTGAAATTCAGGAGCTCCCTCCCTCCCCATATTTTAATACATTTCAGTATTTAAAACAAATACATGAATTTACATTACACTTACTTACTAGATATGAAATTTCTTTATCATCGCCTTATTTAATGTTTAGTACTTTTTTTTCATCTGAACAATTAAGTATGATAGTTCAGAATACTAATAAGTATGCTTGCTTAAAAGGTGCAGGAGAGGGACGCGAATGGAAGGATTTAACAATAGGAGAATTCAAAATTTGGTTGGCAATATTAATATATACTGGTATTTTTAAGTTACCTAGTATTAGAGATTATTGGAATGTGGATAGTAGATTTCCAGAACATAAGATAGCGACTTTTATGACTTTACTTCGTTTTGAACAAGTATGTTCTCTTAATAAATATTTGTCAATTCGATATGAAATTTTAAAAATTCAGGTTTTTTCTTTCTTTCTTTTTTTTTTTTTTTTTTTTAGATTAAGCGTTTTATGCATATTTCAGACTGTACTATTCCCCCTTTACATTGGTATTCTAAATTAG